CAGCTGGACAAAAAAAATAGGGCCAAAATCACAGATTTGGGGTTCTGCAAACCCGAGGCGATGATGTCTGGCAGCATCGTGGGCACCCCCATCCACATGGCTCCCGAGCTCTTCACAGGTAAAATCCCCCTGGAATTCTGGAATTCTGGAGGCAATTCCTTGGAATTCATCTCTCAGGTGCTCCTGAGATCATTCCAACCCCAGGGAATTCCCTGCTTTCCATGCATGCCCTGGATTTTTAAGTGCCACTCTTGACAGAGGATAATGGGGTTGGTCAGCTCTGCTAATTAACACCCTTGCAATTAGAAAGGTAAATTATCATTAGGAGGAAGCTGGGAATCCTTGGCTTCCATAGGGAAATACTCCAGGAAGGATTCCTTGGAAGGAATTCCTAATCTGTTTCTACCTTGGATTGGGAATTCCAAAGCTGTTCCCACCTTTGGATTCTCTGGGAATTCTGGCAGCTGCTCTGAGGGTTTTTCCTGAGTTTTGGAGCCACTTGGAAATTCAAATTCCACTTATCCCAATTCTTTTGTTCTGCCAGAGCTGCTCCTGCTTGGATAAAGTTGGGATCCAAAGGAAACATCTCTATTTGTGTGGATTTCTGGGATATTTTTGGGATATTTCTGGGATATTTCTGGGCTGAGGTTTGGCTCTGACAGAGCTGAGCCTTACAGGTGTTGGTGTTTAAAACAGTTTGGGAATTCCTGGTACAGCTTAAATTTATAAATCCTTATTTTATAAATATATAAATCCTGGAAATTTATACTTAATTTGTACTTAAATTTATAAATCCTGGAAATTGGAACAGCTTAACCTTGTTCTTAACTCCTGCTGGGGTTTCACACAAATTTTGCCTTGCTGCTGTGAAATTGAGGTTTAAATTTGGGGAGGTGGGAGCCTGGAGTCACCCCTCAGCCTGCCCAGCTGCCAGGGATTTTTCCCTGCTGGTTTTTTTCCAGGGAAATATGACAATTCCGTGGATGTTTATGCCTTTGGGATCCTGTTCTGGTACCTCTGCTCGGGCCATGTGAAGTTACCTGAGGCTTTTGAGAGGTGTGCAAGCAAAGATCACCTGTGG